GGTTATGAAAACTTCCTCCGCCTTCGGCGGCGGCGTGTAAATATTGCTGAGGGCCGAGAAAATTTTTTTCCGAAAATTTTGACTATTTTTGTTAGTACGTTCTTATCTTAGGCATCTAGCGTGCAGCGCGTTTCTATCCTTTCGTATACGGCAACGTACAGATACAGTCGGGGCGCGAAGAACGCGTCAGAAATGAAAGGGAACGTTGTTTTACTTAAATTATGAGATTTGCCATCTATTTACACGCCGCCGCTGAAGGTACAGGAAATTTTCATAGCCTCGCGCCGCCGCCACCGCCCATGGTAAAAGTTTCATTCGCCGCCACCGAAAATTTTTTATCGGCGCACATGTCTGAGCATGAGCACTTAAAGTCGTATCCACAGTACTCGTTACTCACTCATGAGTACTCATGTGAGTACCTAATGAGTAAAAAAATGTGTGAATACTTATGAGTACTCGGGACATTTTTCAGCAGAGTACGACTTTGAGTACTCACACTTGAGTACATTCACTAGGGTGTATTTCTTTTGATGCCAATATAGCGGCAGTTCTGGTCGAATACTACTGATGATACTGGTAAAAATATGGTCCGCAGAGCTCCCAATTGGAGCTAAATGAAGAATCCATGAGGAAATGGCTTTTGGAGCCTCGGAAGGTGTTATTCATAATCAGCTCGTTAAGCTGAATCTGAATATGTATAATAATGCCAAAAAAAAATTCCACTTGAAGATTGTATTACGTGCATCTTAAGGTGACAGAATAAAATGGTGAATGAATAGTGTTGGAGGGAGAATACAAAATTCTCTCTACTCCTTGAAACCAGTGATTCTTTAACTCCCTCCATTGGGTCTTGTCGATCAGGATGCTGTATCTATGATTTGATCCCCAGTTGTCGTTGATTCAAACTTTTGATCTTAAACAAACAACTAATAATCAATAATCTTAAGTATACACGTTTTAAACAAAAAACAGATTTTAAAACAGAAGCCATTTATGGTATTAAACTTTCTTTCACTTTTTCACTATTTACTTAATCATAGAAAACCGTAATTAAAAAAAATATGCACTTTATTTTGACTAAAGTCATAAAATTCCAAACGTTTCTTCCTTTACGAACCAATTACATTCGATGGTTTTCTTCAATGCTTGTAATTTATTAAAAGTTTTCTTATTGATGGATCACACACACAAACCGTTTTTAACCAAAATACCTACAAAACGATGATTTTTTCTAATATTCATTACTAAGAAACTGTTCGTTTTCCACGCATGGCATGGAATGCTTGAGGTGCATATCGTTTATAATATGATGCTGATGGACGATATGGGCGGGGTTTTTGTTGTTTGCTCTTGTTATTCTCTTTTTGGCCCCTGAACAAATTTGGATGTGGTTCAATCATAGCATAGAAAAGCGCGTTTCTGTTTTCGTCATAAAATGATGGATGAACATTTTCTTGTCCATCAACACTATTTATAATATCATTTTCGTCAATAAAATTAGTTAACGATGCTGGATTGTCATAATTCGCGCGATTATAATCGGCATCAATAACAATACCTTGTACGGTTGTACCACTCAATAGTGTCATATGCCAATAGGTAACGATAAGGACAGTAAGTATCTTATTCATATCTAAAACAATATAATTATAAACTTTTAGTAAAAAGAATATTTGCTTTTACAATGATCAGATCATTGTTAAAATAAAACAGAACTTTTTCAGATATTTTAAAAAACGATCATTCAGAAATCGAATCACTTTCGAAAAACATATTTTACATGATATTAACCACATTTTATCTCGATTCATACCTGTGTAGAAAACTACTCAGTTTCTTTAGCGGATTCAAAGTGTGTAAACTTGAAAAAAAGATACGTTTGATCTACGTATGATCGAGAAACCTGTTATGTCTATAAACCAAATTTTTATTAGTAAGGAAATGGTTTTTCATTTAAACATAACTTGTTAATTAATTTTTTTGTCCTTAAGCTATTAGGCTTTCGTGTTCGAAAAATCAGCAATTATATTATTAACATTAAATGGAAATAGCTCTTCTCTAAAATAAAAACAAAACGATAAGAAAGAACGTAGTAGTTTTATATTAAACATCTAAAAGTTTTCTAATAAATATCCAAAAAGTGTGTTCAAACCTTTCACAAAACCGTTTAAGTGTATTAATAGAAATGAAAAATCTTTTTTTTAATCCATTTGTTTTACGGGTCTTTAAAGTACACATCTTTTTTTCAGAGAATCATTTTTATTTGAACACGATATAAATTATAGATAAAATGTGAAAAAAGACTCTAATCTATTCGTCTGTCACTTTATTTAATACTTACTGATTTAGTATGAGTGAACGCTTCAGGCATTATTTTTTTTCTTTACTTATTAACAAGATTATCAACACCCTATTTTCTACCTGTTTTTTTTGTCGTGATCCTAGAACATTTCCAAAACAGAAATAAAAAAAGACTACTTTAAAGGGTGTATGTAATACCATCATTTAGTAACAGTGATATAGCATTCATTCAATAATTACCGGTACAAAAGAAAAGAAAAATTATGTTAACAAAAATCAGATCGTGTTAAAAAAATCAGATTAAGATCGTTTACACTTTGAGTTCATATTGACAAATAACATTTCGTAATCGATTTTTCTAGAGATGAACTGTGTTCTCGGCAACCAGCTTTAACTTAAACATTTAAACACAAAGATGAACATAAAAACACCGTAGGCTTATAATAGTAGTGTCATCCTATGAAAGTTAAACAATCGTAAGAAAAGAATGAAAATCAAAAATATCTGATGAAAAAAATAAAAGTAAGTTGACTTAGAACAGAACGTAAGTTAAAAAGAAAGACTATCAGAAAAAGTTAGATATGAAAATGTTTTCTCGGTGCTCGATTAAGAGACGTTATTATCGATGCTGATACTATATTTTATGACCGCGACTAAGACCGTTAAAACATAAAAGAATTACGTTGTTTCAATGAGACAGAGAAAATATTATTTCCCGTGTGGTTGATTTTTGCTGAAATGAAACTGGGTTTGCAGTGCTGTATAATGTAGTTGAGAATGTTATTTATTCATAGTAGTATGAAATGTTGGTAGAAGCAAGATCCTGTATAACGTATTTTTTGGTCGGATTTTTTGATCTTTAAGTTTTACTCCATGTTTTTACTCCAGTTTTCCTTCACGAATATGATGCGAGAAACCTTAAAGACGAATTTAAAAACAGTGCACAGCAATTCTAACAAAGCACTTTCTTTCGTTTGAATTGTCTTACCTTATTGCTACCTATGAGTAAACTGGGTGTTTGATCCTCTGTGGTTTCTTTAAGAGCTCTACTGATAAAATGCTCTACGACAAGTGCATTGACACCGAAAAACCAAGATTGAGAAAATGTCAATCTTTCCTATTTGGGAATCTTGCACATTTATCCTATCTCACTAGGTTTTAACAAACAAGTCCTTTATTGTGTACAGTATTCTACAAAAAAAGATCTTTTGCTGAAACTATTGACTGATTAAAATAACCATTCAATCTTATGACAGAAAACTCATGTATAATTTCTTAGCTGTCACTCTGTTCATTCTTTCTTAAATGGACACACGAACTAATTACTTGAAAATGATAATTAGTTTTCTGTTTTTGTCTCAGATAAAGTTTGTTAGCGGGATATTCAAAAGCTGGCAAAAAAAACGCCTTCATATCTCTCTAAAAAGAAGAGAGTTGCTTGTCTTATTGTATTAGATAAGAATGTCAAAAAAACGCATCATGCCAGTTGTGTATGTATTATGAGGAAAAAGAGCTTAAATGAGTCTTTATCTGGCATTGTTCTGAGATTTTCTGAAAACTCAAAGGTAGAAGTTCGTTTTCTAGATGTACCAGAATGGAATTCGGTGTCGCACGCTTCCCTGATAAGGATACATAACTAAGCTGACATTTCTGTTAAATACTTTATTAATAAGTACTCCGTGTGGCCAGCTAACTCTGCTACCATAAAAGAATTCGGTAACGTTTTTTCATCATTTTGTTTTGTTTATAAATCGCAAACTACACGATGCAGACAGCTACAACACGTCTTAAATTGATGAAAAAAACTGTTATGAACTTTTTAAAACATGTCCCAACTCTTTAATATGTCTCATTTTAAAGATCTCATAGAAATATTAGTAACTACTTTTTTTTGATAACCACATTTAAACTTTGCAGAATCGAAAAGAGTAGTTGCCAATATTTCTATGAGATCTTTAAAACGAGATATATTAAAGAGTTGGGACATGTTTTAAAAAGTTCATAACAGTTTTTTTTATCAATTTAAGACGTGTTGTAGCTGTCTGCGTCGTGTAGTTTACGATTTATAAACAAAACAAAATGATGAAAAAACGTTACCGAATTCCTTTGCGGTAGCTGAATTAGTTGGCCACGCCGTACTATGAATATGCAGATATAAGAATATTCAAAATTTATATATAGAGGGCAGCAAGTAACCAAAACCTGCGAAGAAAAATTAGACAAAATAAACTTTATTTGTTGACAAAATAAAACAGAAAATTGTGTGGAAATTACTGAACTAGAACCAGTTTTTTCAAGTCCTATCGAATGATATTTTATTAACTAGTTCGAACTATCTGTGATGTGTAGAAATCAACAAATTTTAGAGGTCATTTTTGCGAGAAAGCTGACTCTTACCAACGTTGATTCATCAGGATACAAGCCCTTTCTCATAGCACTTAGTGCATATTTCTGAATGGTATTTCATATATTAGTAAAGCATTTGGAGTTACTAAGTTTCTATTTGGTGAGAAATCCTTGTTGGAAGCCTCTTTTTTTCAAAGAGACACGAACGATTGTTCAGCAGTAAGATTTAGAGATGAACGTTTGATTCATGATCAGCACAGAAAATTACATCTGATGATATATTTGACAAGCATTTCTATAATGAAAAAATCATCGAATACTTTTGGCCCAAGAATCCCTCACATACTTTAAAAAAAGTATTTTTCTTTTGAAATGTTTGGAATCAATACAATATAGTTTGCTAATTCTGATGAGCAAAAGTGCACCTGTTTTTCGAAAAAATGATTAAGGAAAACTAAGTTCAATAGTTTCGCTGAAATATTTTTTATTCAAAGCAAACATTTGACAAATATATTACCTAATAAAGTTTTTCGCGTGGATTACGAATCTGATATGTTCTAGAAGAAAAACGCTTGAAAAATGGACAAGTATTGAAATACGCTCGCTGTATTTGGCTCTAATGAAGTATAGAGTAAGTAAAGTTTAATAATGTTACATTCTTAACGTATTCATTTGAAATTATAAAAATATTATCTCACATTATTTCACATTGTTTGACGTGAAAATTTTTTACAGTGTAAGTAAGGTGAGGAAATAAAAAAAAATGAGAAGATTTTAACTAAAATATGTCTGGTGACGTACATTAGTCAAATTGTCAAAACCAGACTATATAATCGCAAACGCTTCATGAATAAAATCATCGTTAAGTTTAGTGAAGAGTACTATGACATGAAAGCCAACATCTTATGTCACGTATTTACAACAAGACTTTAACTTGAAATATATTACACATTCGGATTGTTATAACATAAAATAAATTTGAATTCTCATAACCAACCTCTAAAAACTGTATACTCTAACAATGTGGAAAATTTTATTTATTGTACGTTTCTATTAAATTTCGGTGATAACAAAGTTTCTCATCTCATTTACACTCATCTTCGTACTTTTCTGAAAACTACTACCTATTAATAATAAAAACATACGTAAAATGAATATGTTTCTAGATAGAAGCTGGAAGAATTAGCTGAAAATAGGGAATAGTGTTTCTAAATAGGTGAACGAGTTCTCTTAATCTGAAAAAACTAGGATATGTGATGATAGATCGAAAAACATTTTTGCCCGATATTTTCAAGTCGTACATTGAATTTAGTTACACATCATTGTTATACTTACAAGACTGTCCGGAATAAATCGGGTACATAAATGTGAAAATATTTTTTTGTAAGTGTTGTCAATCAGTGAGATTGGACATAAAAAAATTCTCACCTATTTTAATGATTTAGTGTATAAGATGGCAATCAACACTTTTTGTATTAAAAAAAAAAAGAGAGATTTTTCGCTGCTCTGATTGATTCATCATGGAAAATGCTCATATAAGTCGATAAAAATAAACATCATCTTACTCGTTAATACCAACTATGTGATACTAAATGCCTAATAATTAGTTTTAAAAAAAATTTACGTATACATAAAGAAGGAAAGAAGAGTTTCTCTGATTTACTTTTGTCCTTGCATTTTCAGTGAACAATAGAGATAGAACGTATTTAATTTTTGATTTTTTCTCTTTTTCTTAGAGCAGACATTGTTTAACATATTTCATTGTCATTAAACAGATAAGTATATCAAAAATATATCAGATGCATATTTAAATTACAGGAACCAGGCTTAAAATAATACTTTTCTAAAAAAAAAAAATTAGTTTTCTGTCTCCTACCGATTGAATAAGGAAATGACATAGAAGAACTCTCAATACTCTCGAAAAAGGTTTAAAAAAATCTCTGTTTAGCATGTAATCAAATCAACATGCTTAAAAAGATTTCAA